GGAAATCAACAATAAAGGAAACTAGAAATTTTTCTGAGACTATTTTTTCATGCCAGAGAACACTGTCCCAGCATTGAAGTGATATGTGCATGAGTCCGTGTGCATGTATGAGTGCACTGTTGTGTGCACATGAATGTGTGTGTATACAATACACATGTGCATAACAGTATGTGCGGTGTGTGTGTGTGAAAGTGAGTACATTTGAGGATAATGATTAACACTTTCATTTAACAATTTCTAGAAACAAATATGTATGGTCAGGTAGAATGGTCAATATTTATTTCATGTGGAAGGTAGCTTTTTAAAAATTTTTTTTTAGTTGTAGTTGGACATAATATCTTTTTTTTTTTTTTTTTTTTTTTTTTTTTAAAGAGAGAGTGAGAGACAGAGAGAGAGGGGGAGAGAGAGAGAATTTTTAATATTTATTTTTTAGTTTTCGGCGGACACAACATCTTTGTATGTGGTGCTGAGGATCGAACCCGGGCCGCACGCACGCCAGGCAAGCGCGCTACCGCTTGAGCCACATCCCCAGCCCTGGACATAATATCTTTATTTACTTATTTTTATGTGGTGCTGAGGATTGAACCCAGCACCTCGCACATGCTAGGCGAGTGCTCTACTGTTGAGCCCCAGCCCCAGCCCCAGGAAGATAGTTTTTTTAAAGCAGGAGACTTAGGATAATTTTACCAAGTCACAGTTCATGCAGAGCCTGATTGAATTTGATTGACGTATTCCAGGACAAACAAGTCACTAAAAACATAATATTGGGTGATGCAGAGGGGATGCAAAATTCTGCACTATTGGGTAGGTAAACACTGGTGACTTTCCAGCTTGATTTTTTTTTTCTTCCAGTTTTGGCACACAGAAGAGGTCAGGAGGAGGATGTAAACCAGCTCCATCTTGAGGCCCCATTCATATGCCAATGACTTAAAAAAATTTTGGGGGGGTAGTGGGGATTGAAGCCAGGAATGCTTTACCAACTGAGCTACATCCTCAGCCCCTTTTTATTATATATTCTTAATTTTGAGACCGGTCTCATTAAGATGCTGAGGGTCTAACTAAGTTGTCCAGGTTGGACTTGAACTTTTGATACTCCTGCCTCAGCCTCCTGAGTCACTGGAATTACAGGTGTGTGTCATCATACCCAGTCCAGATATCTTATTATGAGACTATCCACCTATATATAGCAGAGTCCAGATGGCAAAGGGCCCTCAGGTAGCACTGGAAAGGGCTCTAGTGACTTCCACTTATTTGTGATAAGAAACACTCATTTCTAAGTATGGGTCAATGAGTCTATAATGAATTTCCCCCAGAAAGACAAGTTTAGGATGAGATGTCTGGGTGGGTCTTGATGGTGACAGGTAACTTGTGCTGAGAGAGAAGCTCTCCATCAAAGCTGATATTTAGATTTTGTAATTACATATGGCAGGCAGGCTGCAGGAAAAATCTCATTTATAAATTTGTAAGCCTGTGCATACCTTGAAGGAGAACCTGTATTTTATTTATCTTTATAGTCCCAATACCACCAACGGGACTTTCACACAATTGAATGCAATTCTATAGGACCAGCAAGTTTTTTAAGCTGGGAGTTAGAAAGCAGAGATGGAAGAATTCAGAAACAGGAACTTGCCTGGGAAGATTCTGGAAGTGAAAGGAGATACAAAGGAAGAGGAAGAGTGCTCTGTAAATAATAATGATAAATTAAATCAAAGATTGGAAATGTTTTAAAAGCAACCTGCTCAGATTCTAAATTCTTTCATCTTATATCTTTAGCATGTGATAGACTAGAATGTGGTACTTAGGCTCACTGGGAGGGTAGGAGGTAGTGAATTGACAAAAGAGATGGAGGGAGGTAAGATTGTCTTCTCTGAGGGAAGAGTTGGGGGGCGCTTTTCTAAGAAGGGGGCAAAGTAAGGTGCGGTGACTCTCAGGCTCAGGCTTAGCTCTCACATGTAGTTTAAGGTCAACATGCAGCTGTTGATGGCTTACTTCCACTTTGCTCTGTGTTAACTCTCACAGCTACCCCATATAGTAGACAGATTATGTAGCATACAGGTCATGTAAGAGATAGGTTCAAAGAAACAGAATAGCTCCCTTAAGCTTTCATAGGATGTAGGTAAATAGGAAGCAGGATTCCAACCCAATTCTGGCTCCACATCTTGTACATTTTTCTCTGTAATCACAGATGCCTACCTAGAAAGACAAGGCAAGAGGACAAAAATAAATCTTTTAGATGAAATCCAACCTATTGCATATAAATTGTGCAGAAAACAGACCTCATGATAAATATATTTATGGTCGCCTTGGCAAGTTTTAATGCAACTCTCTAAAGTCATTTTTTCCTTGTGCTGCTGGGTTTTAGCATGCCGAAACATATTTTAGCACTTAAAAAAAGCACATGCTATGATTAAGTATATTATAAGGGACTTTTAAAATTTAGATTAATGGTCTGATAAGTTGTAAAACAACTCAAAATTGTGTAAATTTGTATTCAGGGACTTTCTAAAATTGTAAATTGTTGACTTGATAGATTGTAACAAGTCCTTTGAAACTATTCTGTGCTGTGATTCAAATCTTTACTGTGTAGTTTATTGACAGGTTGACAAATACAATGACCCCCTTGGTGGGCACATGGTAAATTCACAGCTTGTGTAGCCCTCTGCAAACAGGACCTGCTAATCACTCAGCAAACAGGAGGAGGGCTGGTGCTGTGGTTGCATGAAATTTAGCCTTCTGTTTTCCTTGTGTGTTTGATAGATGTGACTTCCAAGGACCATAAAGGTCCTTGTTCAAGTCTTTGTAGTTGCCTGGATATGATTATTACACCTAGTATTTTAGTACTAGTCAAATGGCTAAGTTTTTCCATGTTGTTCACCTAGAGACTAACTGCTGTTTCATGCTTATTGTAGGTACAGATAAGGTACTTGAGGTCCAAATATTAGAGTACAAGTTCAACTAGTAGATGCGGTAAAGCCAGTTTATATCACATTTGCTGTCTCACATGTTTTTCTATGGGGAGCAAGTGAATGAGGCTGTGGTTGTGGTTTCTTACAGGAAGTGAAAAGGCTTAGGACTGAGAGCCCAGCTAGCCATCTTACAGACAGAAACCATTGGTCAGGCAAGGGAATAGATGCTTCCAAGCAAACAGATCCCATTATTTTAAATAGGAACACAAACTTCTATATCATCTATCTTGTATCTATCAATTTTCTATGTTTGTATGTATCTATCTACCATCATCTATCTACTTTCAAAAATAAAATGCTCAAGAATATATTTGCAACAAAACCCAATGCTTTTCTGAACAAGGGCAAAACCACCAAAAGCTCTTGATTTGAACTTGGGGGAAAAAACAGAGGGGGCTACTTGTTATGGTTTGGATCTGGAATGTCCCCCAAAGGGCTCATGTGTAAGAAGACTTGGTCCTTGATGCAGCAGTGTTCAGAGGTGGAGTTCTTGGGAAGTGATTGGATCATGAGGACTCTGACCTCATGAGTGGGATAATTCATTGATGCTTCATAGATGATGTATTATTGTGAGTTGGTAGAAATTTTAGGAGGTGGGACTGAGATAGAGGAAATAGGTCACTGGAATCATACCCTGGAAGGATATCTCTTATCCTCAGCCCCTTCTCCCCTCCCCCTCCCTTTCTTGACTGCCATAAGGTGGGAAGCTCTGCTCCACCATGCACTCCCCACTACAATGTTCATCCTCACTACAAATTCACAATGAGGGGCTGAACAACAGTGGACTGAGACCTCTGAAACTTTAAGCCAAAATAAATCTTTTCTCCTTTAAGTTGTTTTTCTCAGGTATTTTGTCACAGTGATGAAAAGTTGACCAATACAGGTAGGGTCAGTAGCAAGCCTGATGAATACTTTTCCAGGTAGAATCAACTCTTGTAGGCCACGTGGATGTTGGCAGAGTGTTTGAAAGAAGCAGGCATCTAAATGATACCCGAAAGTTGATATTAAAGGGTGTGTAGTTTGGTTCTTTACTCACACATGAATCTGCATTTAATGAACTAGCTGCCTGATGTGTGGGCCAAAGTTATCACTGTACCAGTGTGTTCATACATAGCCAGAATTGTCAGGCAGGGGCTGCTGAGAAAGATCATACAGAGGGAAATGGATGCAATGAATTTGAGGTTAAAAAAAAAATCTCATCTTGGGTCTGTGTTGCTCTAAAGGCAGAATAAACCTCAGGCTGTCTGCAGCAAGAGAGAATCTGAAATAGACATTAGCTTTTCTGTCCAATATAACAGTACTAGCAGAACAAGTAGGGCAAGCAACAGGATAGAAAATGATAGGCAATTGGGAGAGGGCAGTGTACACTGTATGCCTCCAAAGACAGAGAGAGGTGGCAGGGGCTGCAGGCAAGGATGCCCGTCAGTCCTGGGGAATGAGGAGGGCTACCTTAAGAATCTATTTTGATCTGTGCTGGCCAGTTTTCTTCTGTGTCCTCCAGACTCGCTCTCTGTTCTTTTCATTGGTACCCAGGGAAGTGGGACCCTGGTGCATGGCTCTTACTAGCCCTGGGCTCCTATCTTAGCCCTTTCAGTTTTCTATATCCTGGCCATACTTTTGTAAATAGTCCCTTTATTAAATTCTCCTCAAAATACCCAGTTTCAGTGTGATGTCTTTTTCCTGTCAGGACCCTGACTGATGCACCTATTTTCTCAAGTAGTATCTTTTTTCTCTTGGGTTTCTCTCAGTTTGCAGGCAATGGCTACTCTTGGAGGAGAGGAGGGAGGCTCTCATGTTGGTATAGCCAAGTGTTATGGTTTAGGTACTAGATGTCCCTCAAAAGATTATGTGTGAGACAACTCGAGAAGGTTTAGAGGAAAAATGATTGGGTTATGAGAACCTTAACCCAATCAGTGAATTCCTGTGATGGGATTAACTGAGTAGGAACTGAAGGTGGGTAGTGTATGGCTGGAGGAGGTGGGTCATTGGGGCGTGGCTTTGAGGTTTATATTTTGCATATGGTGGGTGGACTCTCTCTCTCTCTCTCTCTCTCTGTTTCCAGATCATCATGTGAGCTGCTTCCCTCCGGCCATTCTCTTCTGCCATGATGTTCTGCCTTATCTGGAACCTCGAGTAATGGAGCCTGCTGTCTGTGGGCTGAAACCACTGAAACTGTGAGTCCTCAAACTTGTCCTCCTCTATAATTGTTCTTGTTAGGTCTTTTAGTCAACAGTAGTGAAAGAGCTGACTAAAACACTCAGTGGTAAAGTCCAGGACCTAGTGGTGGAGCCGGGAAGAGGCCAGTGAATAGTAAATACTGGGTGGCATGTTGAGGCTTTGTCCTGTTACAATTGGGCGTTGCTCTGTAAAAGTTAAAGCTCTTTCCCAACTGTGAAGCGCTCCGGCTTGGAGCATTACTGCAGTGATGGCTGACACAGCTGTTATCCTCACTGCACAGCTGGAGAAACATGGCAGAGGGGAGTGAGCGGATAAATATGAAGGACAGGCCAGAGAGGAAACCTGTTTCTCGCCAAATGCTTGTGGTCCCTTCCCTCAGTTATACAGTTCATATTGCTAACAGGGAAAAACACATCACAACTTTCCTCAAAGGGGGAAATATTAAAAAATACAGACTGGTATTAGCGAATATTAGATGTCCCCCAAAAGGCTCTTTTTTCCCCCTTTCCACTTGATTTGTTGCTATGCTTTATTTTCCAAGAAAATTTCAACTATCAAGAAAAACACTAATTTTTCTTTGTGCAGTTTCTAGAATATTCTTCCTTGATCAGGTGGAAAATGGAGCACATTGTGATCTATGTGCTGATGGAATGAAATATCACTCACAGAATTGATCTAATTTGTTTCTCCCTTTGGACTAGGACCAAGCGGCTGGGAAAGAAATAAGTTAGGAACACAGAGAATACTCTACTGTTTGTTCAAAGAATAAAAATGAAATAAGACAGGAAAAGTTTAGAAAGGACTTTCTCTAAGGCAATCGTTTATTAGAATAAAACCATAGTTTCTAGTAGCATAATCAGAGAATATTTTCCCTTCAGTTCATTAACTTTGCTCTTAGGGCTTATTGTACCTACCCAAAAGTATTATCAAAAGTAACACCATGTAAAAGTTTCAATTTCTGGCATCATTGGGACAAAGGACTCAGAAAGGTGAATGAAATTTTGTTTTGCATGTTGGCTTAGCTTATAAATGAAATCCTGTGTTTAGAGAAAAGGGAACTCAGGCCAGCCCTATGAGGCTTATACAGAGTTCAGTAAACAAATCTGAGAATGGTCTCCATCAGAGCCCTGGCTGCAGAATTTTCTTACCTTTATCCAAAGGAAACACAAGTTCATACCTGACTCCAGAATCAGGCTTAACATGAAAACTTCTGAGCTCTCAGCTATGAAATCCCTGCCAATTATATTTGTCTTTGTCCATCAGAAAGTGGCAATACCCTGGGGGCATTCGTGACTTGCCCCACTCCTTATATTTCGTGCTGTACAAGTTGTCTAAGTGCCTAGGAGAGAAGAGTGAGCAGAATAAAGGAAAAGATAGAGTGAAGCTCTGCACAAATTAGATATTTGTCACAGCTCGGGTAAAAGTGCCAAAGAAACTGTGAATCAGGACTTCCACGAGAGGATGGAGTTCAGAGCCAGGCTGACATCTACCTGCCTAGCTGGGGATGACTCACACTCCCTGTACGAGGCTGTCGAAGTGTTGACAGTGGGGTTAGTCCCAGGCTCAGGAATGTGGTCAGCATGCATGGAGAAGCACACCCTTGTCTTGTATTTTTCCCCAAATCTGTTCATTTAGGACACATTTCTTAGGAATTTAAAAGCATATTATCTGGTCAAAAATCATCCACAAAAGCTGAGGCAAGGAGTCACTAGGACAGGTTCTACTGGCTAGATGGGGAAAATGAGTACAGGGAATGCAGCTGCCCTGGTCCTCAGAGCTCTTTCCTGAGCTGGCTCCTTCTCCTCCTAAGTCTTCTTATCTCCCCAGAGCTGTGGAAATGCCCTTGACCATCACTCTTAGTTTTGCATAGTTGAGAGCTTAATTCTGTTGACCAACTTGGAAAGGACAGATCTGGGAGTCAGGATACCTGGGTCCTACTCTGGACTTTGTCATGATCTAACTGTGTGATCTATACCTCTAGGTCCATGATCTTCAAACAGCGGACATTAACAAAGTCTGGGAACATTTTTTTCACCACTTGGAGAATCCTACTGGTATCTAATGGCTGAAGCTAAATGAACTGCTAAATACCTTACAATGCACCAGGCACACGACCCACCATGGGATTATCTGACTCAAAATGTCAATAATACCTCTGTTGGGAAGCCATGCTCTAGATTTCTGTTTTGTCATCTGTAAAATGAGAGGTTTAAATTACATCATTTAAAAAAATCATTTTCAGAGACAAAATACGGAAAGGTAGATGAAGTATTTGGAAAAGTATATAACTTCACATTAAATTTGGAAATGTATCATGCGTGAAGCTGAGAAGCAAAAATGAATCCCTCAAAGTATAATAAGTGGCATTATGGTAGCTCATATCAATAATAATAAGAGAATGTATCGGTGTGGCTCAGACAGTCCCCTATGCTATAAAGATGTGAGAAATTACACTGTGTCAACAAGGTATCCAACAAGGTATTCATTTAGAGTGCAGAAAAAAAATCTCAAGTTCCAAATCCCAGGTTTCCATTTAGGAGAGTCTTGTGGGAGGTGATACACACAAACTCCTCTTTGTCTAAACCATGTGCCAAACAGAAAGAGGCCAAAGGTGATCCATGTGGAAATAGGTTTTTGGAGAACTGCAATAAAGGACCTCTTTTCCCAAGTACAACACAAGTGCTGGCAATATAATCCAGGTAACAAGGCAGAGCAGGCCTGGGAAGTACAAGGGCAATTTCTTGGCTGGCCAGACACATGAATGCAGGTTCAGAGGTAGCCTACAGTTGCTCTGGTCAGAACACATGACGGTCAGCTGCTGCTATGTGGCTAGGGGCACTTCCCTCACCAAGCTGTCACATGGATAAAGACTGACATTACAAGGCTTCCGGGAGAGTTCAAAAAGGTCACCAAATCTCCAAAGAGGCAACTGGTGGCAAATATGATTATGGGAGAATTAAAGAAAAAGTTTCCTTATGAAAAGGGGAACCCCCAAACCTAGCAACAGCATGGATGGATGGATGGTAGACTAGAAAAGCCATGTTACTGGGGATTGAACCCAGTGGCACTCCACCACTGAGCCACATCCCCAGCCCTTTTTATTTTGTATTTGGAGACAGGGTCTCACTAAGTTGCTCACGGCCTCTCTAAGTTGCTGAGGCTGGCTTTGAACTGTGATCTTCCTGCCTCAGCCTCCCTAGCCATTGAGATTACAGGAGTGCAGTCACCTTACCTGGCACCCTGCTGACTCTAGAACTGATTTTTTAGGAAGGGTCCAGAGGACTTAGAGATGCCAATCTGGCCTCACAAATGATAACCTTATGCTCATGGGACTTTGAGGCATCATTTTTATATTTCACTTGCACATTTTTCAGGTTGACAGGAACACAGGGCACAGGAGAGCGGGCTGGACTCTTCAGATGTTGGGGCCTTAGATGATGGCCCCTCAGAAGATGCTGGTGATCCTGCCTACAAATCTGAACAGGTGGCAGGAAGTGCAAGGATGTGCCCCTCAGGGCCATGCCTGAAGTTTTGTTCCCTGGGTGCCGTCATTCATGGGGCTGGCGGGGATGTTGGGGATATAATCTCCACTGACAGAGCTCATCTCCCTGCATGAATGGCCCAGGCAAGCATAATGAAGTGGCATAAACAAGTGCCAGGAAGGGGAGGAGGCAAAGGATAAAGTTCAGGCAGGCCATAGACTCTCCACTGACAGCTGCCTCGTTTTAGTAATTCCACCAAAGTCATTCGGGGAGAGTGCTACACACAAAAAAGAAAACTAATAGAAAAAGTGATCCCTGCAAGGTCTGGTTTCTTCCTAGGAACACTTTTTAAATTATTGTATTGGGAGTACAAATAATGTTATCAAGTTTAAATTTTACTTCCTCAACACCATCACCAATATAACCAAGTGATTTGGGAAAGCCATTTCCCAAGGGGACAGTGAGTGAGTGCAGAAATTGGTGCAGTCACCAGCAACAGGATGAATCTGGGAGTTGGAATGTAAAATGGGAATCTAAAAACACATTTAATTTCCATCTAGCCATGAATACACAATTATTTTTATTTTTTGACCTTTTTCTTTGAAGAAGATATAAGAAAGTTAATCTTCCCAAAACATCCCGATTCCTGATTTCATCAGTTTTTGAAAAGAAGGGTGGCAATGTGTTCTGACCTAAGAAAGTCATGTTTGGGGGCAACAGAGAAGCCACCCTGCCTCCTCATCAGGCTCGTGATGCTAGCAGCAGACTGTACCTCACTTGGCCTTTGCAACCACTGGGGTAAGGCAAGAGCAGTCACAGGCCCTGCCAGAAACAAGAGGGACAAAAGGTGAAGCCCAAGACAGCCTGAACTCTGGATCTTTCCTGGGGAGATACCAGCTCTGAAAGAAGATGGGTGAACAGCTGAGCATGTCTGATCACAGGCTCCTTCTCAGGCTGCTGTGGGATCATCTCTTCTGCCTCAGCTTCTCACTATTTGTCTTTATTTGAATTATATGTTCTCTACAAATTATGGAGGTCTACTCTAAAACTGGCCAAACCAAGACTTGTCAATCTTTAGTCTCACAAAGGACTTACATGAGCAAGTGCTCTTTTTTTTTTTTCCTTTAGCCAATTTTCAATAAGCCAAAACAAACCTCTGCATGCAGAGGGCAGTGAGATATCAAATAAGTTACAAAGAAACAATAAGCAATGAGATGAGACAGAAGAAATTCACTTCAGGGGAAAAATGAATCTTTGTTTATTAATTTAAAAAGTATTGTGACCTAGGCAAACTTTGCTTTAATGTAAAAAAATCAGTATTTTAATTTAGATCCAATTTGTGCCTAGGAGTCCCACGTGTTATCACCTCAGAGACAATGGCAGGCATAACCTTTTGTCTCTCACTGGTGTTCTTGGGATTTCTTCTTTGCTTTTTATTCTATGTGTGCACCAGTTGGTTTAGAAAGGCATTATTCCTCCTCAGGTCTGGGGGAAATATCAAGAATTCTATTGATATGTATATTTATAAAGAATTTTACATGACAGAATCAAAGTGTTCAGAGCAGGTCACAGGGGACAAGATGGGGTTGTATTTCTCCATTTCTTATTAAGACAGCTGCCCTTACTAACAGAGGAGACCCAGGTATTTTCCCTCAGCAAACACATCTGTGCCACAAAAGAGCCTTATGACTTGATTAGCTTTTGGTCAGAAGAATATTTCATAGAGTAATGTTAAATAAAAACAAATATACAATATATGGTAGGTCTAACATCTTCAAATAAACATAGGCAATAAAATGGAGTTGATATGAGAGGGTAGGAATAGTATTTGGGGGATGATTCCTTCTAAGAGATGAGATTGAATATTGAGTTTTTAAATTTTTATTTTTAATTTTCTGAGGAAAAATTCACTGAACATGAAGCTTCCCACTTTAATCATTATAGCAAGCATAAAGCAGAGAGCTTGCTTTTTAAGTATATTTATAATATTGTACAACCATCACCACTAATTCCAGAATACTTGTATCACCCCAAAATGAAACCCCCATGCCTGTTAGGAGTGATTCACAATTCCCTCTCCCCACACCCTTGGAAACCACTAATCCACTTTCAGTCTCCACGGGTATGTCTGAGCATGAATATTTAAGGGACTTCCAAACAGCTGCCATAGCAACATTCCCATGTGTCCTGGGACTGGAGACGGGCATAGCGAGGCAGAGTGGGGGGCAGCCCTACGGAGGCTCCTCCCAGGTCAGTGATGGCTGCAGTGACAGCAGTGCTTGAGAACAGTCTGCAAGTGTGCCCAGGCTCCTTTCCAGGGCCACCCCCACAAAACAGCCATGCCAGGTGCAGCAGCACCTCCGTCCCTATGAAGAGTGGGCACTAAGTGGTGAATCCCTCAGAACCTCAACACCCTCGGTGTCTGAAACGTAAAAACAATATCTATCTCCTTCTCTTTCCAAAAGTGATTGCTGCCACCATCAGGCGTGAAAGGGTGATATGGAACATTCCAGGTCAAGTGATAAGAGGTCAATAAATTCTGTGCTGGGGCAAACCACGCCCATTGGATGGAGTGAGAGGCAGCCCTGCCTCCATGGGAGCAGGTCCACAGCTCTAGGTCTTAGAATCTTTGCAGGCCATGAGATGCCAGCTTTGTGTGCGTTTGCCACACTTGTCATGCTTAGCAGATAAAAGCTATTCCCTGAGGATACTGTTGTAACAGAATTCTTCATTGCTCAGGCCAGCGGCATGCTCCTCTTGTCTCAATCAAGGCGGTGTAAAGAGGAAAGCCAGCCAGCCATGCGTGTCTGTCATTTGGCTGATCAGCCCCTCTGCCGGTAGATGCCTCTTTCCAAAGCCTGGCTCTTACAAGAGCCCGATTTCTCACCAGAAATAATTTTCCTACATCTGTCAAGGGCAGAGAAGGGTGAATGGCCTTGCAGGGCATGAACTACAGGCTCACAAAGGAATCTGTGGGAATATCCTGAAGATACCCAGGCAATCTATGACCAAGCACAGGACCAAGTCTTAGAGGGACAAGAGGACGCCATATAGACTTCTCTGCACAGAGAGAACCTGTCAGGATGACCCCTCTCCTGAGCTACTATGTAGTTTTCTAAAAATCAAGAAAATGGCTCAATTTATTCTTACATGAAGTGTTTACAGAGGCTAACCCAAACAAAGCTAAGCTAAGGACACGTGCTGCTCATGAAAAGCCAATCAGTAGGCAACTGCAGAAGGGTTTACACCCACTGTCTCCAACACTTCCTCCTGGGGAAGGGAGAGCAGACCTGGAATGACAAAAGCAGCTGGCTCTGTCTAGAAATCTGACTTATCTGCTCCTCAATCCAGGGCTCGCAGTACTTCTCTCACCTGGGCAGATCTATCATCATCAATGCCATTTATTTGGGAATAGTGTGGGGTTGGGGTAAAATTGCAGGTGAAGCCTGGGAACAGGAAACCCCACCCCCCGTTAGTCCCCATACCTGGGTACATCGCTAATGTCAAGCAACACAACTCCTACAGGATGGGGGACGTGGAGGGCTTTCCACACCATGGGCACTCACTAGATGACTTCCTGAAGAACTGAACAGGTGAACAAATGCAATTTACGAGATTCTTTGCTGTTGAGTTTCTCACAATCTAACTGGAGAAAAGGGGCCTGGCAGAAATGAGATGTGTTGTGATGCAGCTTTATCATTTCTTAGAATGAAAATGTGGCTCAACAAGCAAGCAGTATTAGCATTCCAGTGGATGTATTTTTAACTTATTGTGACAGTTTTCAAAATTTTAGATATGACTCAGAAAGGCTAAAAATTACTTGTAATGATATTTG